AAAAAAAAAAAAAAAAGAAAAATAATTCTTTTAAAAAATACTTATGTTAAAAAAAATGATCATTTTTCTTGTGCTCTTTTCGTTTCTGGTGATTTCCTCAAATCATGAGAAATTATCATTTATTTCATGTCTATCTTCATAGAACACATGCTGAGGTTATAAGCAAGCATATGATACCACCTCTGACTTGAAGATGTTAACAACATAGCTACTGGAAAATAGGGCACATGCATAAAAGATAAATAACTGTACACTGTAGCATAAGTATTATGTGTATTATATAGGAACTACATATATATTATATAAGCAATACAAAAGTATTATGTATATTATTTGGTAGATATAGACAGTAAGTATTCATAAATGATCCTAGGATGAGGTAATAGCAAAAGTATAGAAAAATCCAATTGTGCTTTTAGTAGAAGACAGAATAAATTTGGGATTTTATTTCAGATTGAGTAGACTGATTCAGCTGAAAAAAGGTTTATGGAGAGAAGAGAAAGGAAACAAAGTTGGAAAGAAAGGACGGAGTGTTAATGTGAAAAGTCTTGAACATCAACCACCTGTCAATCAGTCTATCTTTAATATGAATAAAACTTGGACCAAGATCCCTTTAAGCCAGAATATCTAAATTTCAGTCTATCGATTTGTTTTGTGTAGCTGAAACTCCTACCCATTTAGTTTTAAGATTGTTTTGAACCTTATTTATATTGATTTAAAATGTTTATTTGGGAATGGGCTCAATTCTCTTTAGAGATTTATTACCCCTCTCAATTTTGCACAGATTTAGTCAGGTGAAGAAGAGAGGTGAAGTGGTTCTAGGCAGATGGAATCCAGGATACGTGAGGCCAGGGTCACAGGCAAGACTGGCTTCTGAGGAAGGAGAACGGCAGGAACATAGCATGAATGAACAGCAGAAGGAAACCAGCTCAAAAGGCCAGTTACAGAAAAAATTGGAAACATCTCCAAAGTGAGGCTTGGGTGGGGGCAACTAATAGCTTGAAACAATTTTATTATACAAACAATGGCACCAGTAATATTTGCTTAAAATATTTTGGTCAGGTGCGGTGGCTCACACCTGTAATCCCTGCACTTTGGGAGGTGGAGGAGGGCGGATCACCTGAAGCCATGAGTTCAAGAAACCAGCCTGGCCAACATGGTGAAACCCCATCTCTACTCAAAATACAAAAAAAAAAAAAAAAAAAAAAAAAAATTCGCCGGATGTGGTGGTGCATGCCTGTAATCTCAGGTACTCGGGAGGCTGAGGCAGAAGAATCACTTGAACCCAGGAGGCAGAGGTTGCAGTGAGCCAAGATCATGCCATTGAACTCTAGCCTGGACAACAGATCAAGATTCTGTCTCAAAAAAAAAAAAAAAAATTACCTGAATGGCTGAATAACATTCTATTCTACATCCCAATATGTGGAAGTTTCATAATGTATGTACCCAATCCTCTCTTTTAGAATATTTAGCTGATTTCCAGGTTATTGTTTATTTGTTTATGTTTTGTCTATTATAACCAGTGCTACAGTGAAAATCTTTGCTAGGGTCCATGATCATTTTCAAAGGCAAAGAGTATGTACGTAAATCCGGGAACAATGGCTCACACCTGTAATCCCAGCACTTTGTAGGGCCCATGTGGGAGGATTTCTTGAGGCCAGGAGTTCGAGACTAGTCCAGGCAACATATCGAGATTCCATCTCTACAAAAAGGAAAAAATTAGCCTGGTGTGGTGGCATACACCTGTGGTACTAGCAACTGGGAGGCTGAGGAAGGCAGATCCCTTCAGCCCAGGAATTCAAGGCTATCTTGTGCTATGATTGCTTCACTGCACTTCAGCCTGGGTGACAGAGCCAGACCCTATCTCTAAAATAAAATTTTTTTTAAAAAAAGAGTATGTACATTTTTAAGGTTTTTTGATATAGAGTGAAAAACTATCCTTCAGAGAGTTTGTGCCAATTTATATCCCTATTAACAATGTCTGAGTATCCTTTCTGAAGCTCTGGTGAGATTTTCATTACTTAAAAATCTCCATCAGGTCTGATGGCTCACGCCT